CATAGGGAAATGACTGTAACTTGAAGAGTGTCTAATGACCGTGGAATATCTCGTTTCATATTATTCATTGGCGCATGCATTTCGTTTACGGTTGTTGTGCAAAAGCCAGGAAATGGCTGTCGTTTGTTTCTTTATGTACAGCTGGAAAGTGGTGGTGGACTGCGATGATATCGATCGAAACAACGGCGCATTATTCTGTCTCATGAATTGCGCGCGCGTCGTGCCTACAACGTAAAAGACGTATTTGCAGTACTCTTTGCTGCCAGCTCTATGAAACAGCATGATTCAGCATGTCAGTGCTTGTTTGTTCTTGGTCTTAGGTCTACGGTCTTCTTTGTCACCATGGACTTGTAGTTTTGTCAAGATTTTCGTCCCCATATGGGCTTCAGTACCGTTCGATTATAAGTTCGACGACGTATAGCATTTGATCAATTCGCATGTCCATCTGTTGTAATTTTCAGTTAGGTTTCTTGTTTGCGTCTATCTGCGCCATTCTTTTGGTTAGTTACTAAAAGTGAACATTGACAAAGCAATTAGGCTTTTCTTGTACCTCATTTCTCTCGCCCACCGATCGACCGCTGTCAACGTACTGCCTTTATGCCAGAACAGGGGTTTACAAACGTCCGTTGGTAATAAACTTCACAAGTAGAGGACGGAACGCCGATCAGATTTTAAGGCTGACCTACGGGTAAGTGTCCATGCATTTGAAACCAGGATTCATTGTTTACACGTTCATTATATGGTCGTCGTTCACGGACAGTTAATGCCTTTCATTTTTACGTTATGTTTTTTGTAATGTCGAAAGTCTGCTGTCACAGTGACAATTACTGGCCATTACGAAAGTTAAATGATTGTTCGATTCAGCGCTGTCCAATTATTCGATCATAAGTTACCTCTCTCTGTGCAATTTGTCCAAGCATATTCGAACTTCATATGTTGCTAAAATATATGCTAAAATATTTATTTACAAGAGTAACACTTTAGCGGGCATAGACAGATTGGAACTCCGGAACTACCCGACTCAAACACATACAAAGGACAGTCTTTGTCTTAACCACGAATTCCCTTGAGGATGGAATTTACCCCACGTTGCTTCGGTGCAACCCGCCGAATGATGGATAGCCAGTCGTTGGCCTGCGAACAATAGGAGTAACATAAACGTCATACTAGAGCGAGAAAGGTGTACGGCCACGCAGTCTTTTGCGAGAACACTTTGAGACTTCGCTTCGCTTTGGTCCACATGACAGCTGACTCCGTTGTAATGATCAACAGAGATGCAACTCTGAAAAAAAGTTTTTAATATTTAATGGTTGATAGTGGTCTAAGCGTAAAGTAAATGTGGGGATGGTGTTTACCTATAGATCTCTGAAAGTTAGAA